TAGACTTTTTTCTGCTCGGAAAATCCGTGACTGCCTCTAATGACTGGAAAGTTTTGAAGGTCGACCTGTCATTAAGTATAAGTGGGTTCTTTAATATCTATACTCACTTACGCTCATACTACAGTATATTGCACTTTAATGTCTCTATAAGTATACTAACCCCTGCTAACTGCTAAAGCAGCCAGCGTCCCTTCGTGACTTCAAAATATGTAAATTTTAATTAATTTACAATTTTATATTGCTCTGAGTTAAGTTGAAAATTATCTATTTTTTACGTGATGATCATTAACTTTATCACTGACTTGTGATTTTTTTTAAACAAACCCTAAAAATAACTTTTTAATTAGTTTTTCCAATACAATATGAAATCATTTGTTAAAACACCTGTAGCTGTTTACATGTCTAAAAAAAGCATCACAACAACTATATACTTCATTCATTAGTCTATGTTCAAAATTAAGAGGGGGAATTTACTGAATTGTCCATTGGCTAAGGGCAAAATTCTACCAAACATTAAATCTGACGTAAGTCATTTTTTCTTTACATTTTATATAAATAACGTTACAATATTTTACTTGAATTGAGTAAAACATCATCAACTTTAACGATAACACCATTTTCGTATGGGTGTAAACAAAATTGTATCATGGCCATCTGTTTTGATGTAAACAAATGTAAAACTTGAAAAATGATGATTGACAAATCCAGCACAAACTCTGAAATTTTAAAAGCCTATAGGACGAAGGTTTTTACGGAATATCATCCAAACCCGAAAAAGGTACATTTAGCTTTAAATTGATACCCAATAATATAAAAATACAAATATAAATAAATATTTGTAGGTCGATTTAGATTACGTTTGCAATGTAGGCTCAAAACGTTCAATAAGAAGGATCGTCAGCTACAACGTAGGGAACATTTTTCACCCTGTTTTGATGTTATCGCAGCATCAGGCTGTGGAGCGTGCCAGATGAGTTATAGGCCGAGAAATCGGAAACTGTCGAGCTATAGGCCAACGTACAGAGCCGCCGACCTGATTCTGGGCCAAGGTTCTGAGCCAATGATGTAGTATGCACTATACACTCGCTATTCAACTAAGTTTATAATGGTTTTTTAACTAATTAATTTGTTTAAATAGCCCATTTTTAAGTATTTGTGTAATTGTACAATTGAGACCAATGAGTAAACTAATGCTAATGTGGTAGGCATCTGCACATACAGAGTATTATATATGGTATTTGCGTATCAAAGAATCCCAGTTCTAATAACTGATATTTTATTTTTTGATAGTGTTTACTTTTGGTTTTATAGTGTCTGTTTGGAAATGCAATAAGAATCATCAAGATTCATTTATAAGAGAACGTTTAAAGTGGACAATACCTAATTAACGATTTAGCTATCTTGACTACGAAGAAACAATGAAAATTAAAAAAAATCACAAATCAATCGTCATAAAAACAGTTAAGGTGTCTATAATAGAAGTACCCAATCTAATACTGCATTTTTCACTGGTAAAAATAGCTGGCTAAAAGTTGGAGGAAACTTGACAGACGAATTAAAAGGTATTAGTAGGAGCTTGAGCTCAAAGAAGTGTCGTATTCCTTATTTATGGTATTTGGGCAACATTGTTACATTATTGACTAAACATCCTTGGACAGTAAGCAACAAAGGTGTTCCCTATGGTGGTAGAGCACGGGGCTTCGGTCCCGAGGTCCTGGGTTCGAATCGCGCAAGTCAACAATGGGCTAAGTGATATTTCGCAACATTTGGCTTGGAGAAATATTTAAATTGGTTCAGGGCGAGAGTATAGCGTCCTAGGATGTGTAGCTGAGATATACAAATTTAAAAAAGTAAATACTCCTGTAGGACCGCTTCCTGACCCCCATGGTTTAGGCGATCCTCGTTCGTCGACCCCTCGGCCTCCTTTATGTCGGTCACCTTGCGACACCACGGCCTCGGGTGGACCTTCAGCAACTGGGATGGTCGAGGAGCTCTTGGCTCCTGCCATGTGTGGCTAAATAATGCTTTAACTATGTAAAATGCTAATTATTCAGCGTAATAGTAAAATTAAGATGTATACAGCTTCATGAGAAATACTTATGTATTATTTATTAAAGCTTTAGACTTTTAGAATCGCATAACCATTCTGGCTTAAATCTAACTAAACAATTTAGGTGATTCACACATAAAATAATTTATAAAGCAATCATTATGGATTCTAAATAACAGAGATTTCATCCTGCCCCAATGTCCTTGAGATAATTAGTTTGAAAATAACAATATCCCGTAGCAAACCTGCAGATCTAAGCAATTTCGATTAATTAGTGTGATTAGATTTTGAGTGAAATATTTCGATAAAATTTTATTTATTACATATTTATATAATATTAAATTTAACGAGTACTTTACTACTACGGGGAAGGGAACGGTGGTTTTTATCAAATGCTAATATAATACTATAATATATGCTAATACATCATAGTATAAGATGGACTATAGATAAATATATTAAATTTGGTCAAATTATCCATAAACGCAGAGAATTAACCATAAACAAGCAGACAACAGTTTTCTTTTTCTCCAATTAAATAACATAAGAATTATAAATGTACAGGTTTTTGTAATTTTCTCTGTAACCTTTTATTGTACAACAACACTTAATAAATATTGAATTGTCTATATATATATTTTTTTTATATTTTTCATATATATATATATATATATATATATATATATATATATAGAATTGTTAGTTTTTAAAGTTCTAATAAAAGCTAGAAAAAGTTTTATTAGCTTCTTCCCTATAGGGATATTCGCTAAAATACTCACAATTCCAATTATAAGTTCGTATCTCATTTTTCAACGACATGCTCAAGTGAAATAAATATCCATATTCTTTGGTAACTTTCTTTGTCATGATGTAATACGTTTCCCTCCTCATTATTTTCCAGACACATTACGAGGTATGCACAAACTTTCCATGTACTTCTCGCTTAACCAAGTTGCCAACTCGAGATTATATTAACTATGTCCACAATTATTTCAGAACTTGTCCGCTGAACGACAAAACAATGCGCTATGCTCGCGGCGAGCTACAGTTAACTACAGTTTAGTTTGTTGTTTTTGTTAGTTTTGTTACATTCATTAGATTGTGCAAGATTGCGTTTTTGTTTCACCTCTCACTGTAATATTTTGGTTTTGTTTGGTTTCATTCATTAGATTGTGCAAGTTTGCGTTTTTGTTTGACCTCTCACTGTAATACAGTAGAACCTCGATAAGAAGACCCTCGATAACAAGTCACTCTTGATAACAAGTGTATTTTTAAAATCCCCTTGAATTATTTTTTTCTCTTAACACGTGTTATTGCAAACCTCAATAAGAAGTCACCTTGATAACCAGACTTATTTTATAATCCCCATGAGAGTCTTGTTATCAAGGTCCTACTATATTTTGTTTTCGTTTTGTGTCATTCATTAGATTGTGCAAGATTGCGTTTTTGTTTCACATCTCACTGTAATATTTTTTTTTTTCTTTCATTAGATTGTGCAAGTTTGCGTATTTGTTTCACATCTCACTGTAATTTTTTTTTTCTTTCATTAGATTGTGCAAGTTTGCGTTTTTGTTTCACATCTCACTGTAATATTTTGGGTTTGTTTCGTTTAATTAATTAGATTGTGCAAGTTTGCGTATTTGTTTCACATCTCACTGTAATAATTTTTTTTCTTTCATTAGATTGTGCAAGTTTGCGTTTTTGTTTCACATCTCACTGTAATATTTTGGTTTTGGTTTGTTTCATTCATTAGATTGTGCAAGTTTGCGTTTTTGTTTCACCTCTCACCGTAATAATTTGGTTTTTCTTTTGTTTCATACATTAGATTGTACAAGTTTGCGTTTTTGTTTCACCTCTCACTGTAATATTTTGATTTTGTTTTGTTTCATTCATTAGATTGTGCAAGATTGCGTTTTTGTTTCACATCTCACTGTAATATTTTGGTTTTGGTTTGTTTCATTCATTAGATTGTGCAAGTTTGCGTTTTTGTTTCACCTCTCACCGTAATAATTTGGTTTTTCTTTTGTTTCATACATTAGATTGTACAAGTTTGCGTTTTTGTTTCACCTCTCACTGTAATATTTTGATTTTGTTTTGTTTCATTCATTAGATTGTGCAAGATTGCGTTTTTGTTTCACATCTCACTGTAATATTTTGGTTTTGTTTGGTTTCATTTATTAGATTTTGCAAGTTTGCGTTTTTGTTTCACCTCTCACCGTAATAATTTGGTTTTGTTTTGTTACATACATTAGATTGTGCAAGTTTGCGTTTTTGTTTCACATCTCACTGTAATATTTTGATTTTGTTTTGTTTCATTCATTAGATTGTGCAAGATTGCGTTTTTGTTTCACATCTCACTGTAATATTTTGGTTTTGTTTGGTTTCATTCATTAGATTTTGCAAGTTTGCGTTTTTGTTTCACCTCTCACCGTAATAATTTGGTTTTGTTTTGTTACATTCATTAGATTGTGCAAGTTTGCGTTTTTGTTTCACCTCTCACCGTAATAATTTGGTTTTGTTTTGTTACATACATTAGATTGTGCAAGTTTGCGTTTTTGTTTCACCTCTCACCGTAATAATTTGGTTTTGGTTTGTTTCATTCATTAGATTGTGCAAGTTTGCGTTTTTGTTCCACATCGCACTGTAATATTTTGATTTTGTTTTGTTTCATTCATTAGATTGTGCAAGATTGCGTTTTTGTTTCACATCTCACTGTAATATTTTGGTTTTGGTTTGTTTCATTCATTAGATTGTGCAAGTTTGCGTTTTTGTTTCACCTCTCACCGTAATAATTTGGTTTTGGTTTGTTTCATTCATTAGATTGTGCAAGTTTGCGTTTTTGTTTCACCTCTCACCGTAATAATTTGGTTTTGGTTTGTTTCATTCATTAGATTGTGCAAGTTTGCGTTTTTGTTCCACATCTCACTGTAATATTTTGGTTTTGTTTCAGCAATTCTTTCCCGATGACATGGTGGACCTAACAGCTTGGAACAATCTGTTTCCGACGAATGGGTCTACGACGTTGTTACAGGTATATAATTGTGTGATTTTACTGTTTTATTTTACTGGCTTTTTTTAAGCGTCCCATAAATTTTCAAATTTTAACTTTAATACAATCAAAAATAAAATAACTTCTTGGTCACCATTTTTCGTGTTATTCATTTACGGAATGTAAATACATCCAACACTTGATATTTACAAATATTTACACATTTATTGTCACTTGTACAGTTTGAAGTTGTTATAAAAGATGGTAATGACGATCGATTTCGATTGGGCACTCCAATCATCATGAGCCCCAAAATACGAATTACGTCATTCGCCTTCTGTGCCTAATGTTCGTAGAACATTAGAAAATAACAATAAGCACTGACCCATACTTTCTCGTAAAAATAAATTCGAAGGGACGTAATAAATTCCAATAAAATTTATTCTTCAAGCTGATTTAGTGAAAATCCTATTTTCAGTTTTTGGGGTTGTAAGGATTTTTCGACATACTTTGCGTAGGGGAAGAAAGTAAAAAGTACTTAAACGCCCACAACAAATGACAACTACGCATCAAAGTCGTCCCCAAATGACGGTAATTCCACGGCCATTTACATAACAAATATCACGAACGTCTGTTCCACGTCGAATTAACAAGAAACATCGAGGCAATCTTCCAACATTATTCATTCAGCAAAGATACCGCCCGGCTGTGTAGGCGGTGGGTTTGTTGAACCTTTGTTGGAATCAGCTGATTATAGTGATTACACAAGGGTCACGTGACATTGCTACAATATTGATATCCGGTCGAATAAATAATCTGCCTTTACGTTCTAGCATAGACTATAGAACCAATTGGTCTATTGTCTGTAGGTTCTAGCATAGACTATAGAACCAATTGGTCTATTGTCTGTAGGTTCTAGCGACATTAATCAGTCTGCCCATTGTAGAATAGTGGTTGTATTTTGTGTGAGCTATGTGATTTAACAGAATAACCCAGGTTTTTTACAGATTTCAGTTGAGACAATTTTACTAATTGATGATTGGCAAGATATGATTAAAATCCAGATTTCAAAACCTACATTAGTTTAACCATCATTTAATTAAAATTAATTGGTTTTTAATTTGCATTTGCTTTTTGTACATTTTTAATAAGCTGGTTGAACTAATTTAGGCTTTAGTTTTGAAATCCGGATTTTAATCATACTCTATCTTGCCAATCATCAATTAGTAAACATATCTCCACTGAAATCTGTAAAAACCTGAGTTTATCCTTTTAGTTCAAGTGAAGAAAAATTAAACGATTAAAAAATTATTATCTGTTCAATATTTATACGTATAAGTATAAACAAAATGCTGTATCATCGCGATTGAACACATTTTCACTGAAGAAAAATCTAATTACTCATTTTTCGAGTAAACTTTTTATACTATTAACATATACTAAGTTTTAAGAAAATGAAGATAACTTCAATCAGTATTTAAAGACAATGTTTTATTTATGACCATTATTCCTGGTTGGCTTTTATTAGAAGAAACCACACGAAAGAAAGTTTTAACGCTACATTTTATGCCTTTGCATTACGAGCGTCCAATAAAGACATAAACCTCCCGTTTGTTGCAAATTGTATTCATAACCGAGGGAACGTATCTCGTTATCTGCTGGAAAGTTTACAACGCACACAATCAAGATTAACAAGCTCGTCGAAAGGAACAGAGGAAAATTGTAAAAACAGAAATCCCCCGTAAGACCGTGAGTGGCTGCTGCTGTTTGGAGGGTATGTGCGAGTTTGGCAGCCGACGGGAGAAACGTGCCTCTGCGACGGTTTTACGCTTGTCTTTATGACGCCGGAGAGCCGTAAAATGTGATTTGATTTCTCTGATAAGTTGAGTGCGCCTGGCGAGTGGCCAAGGCTCAACACACACCACGCACCTTGCGATGTGGTCAGCATTGTGAATGTGTTGTAATGGAGTCTATTTAGGTGTCAAGTGGAATTGTTTATCTGTCCTACGCTAGGCTCTAGGAATCGTTTTTCGGGATTGCGGCATTATCCTTTGGTGGGATTTGAACCAGGAGCCCTAGAGACCAAAGTCCCGCGCTCTACCACTAGACCAGCTCGCTCCCCAGTCTATAAGGTTCTTGAATGGTGCCAAGTGGAATTCTTTTCAATCCTACGCTAGGCTCTAGGGATCGTTTTTCACATTAATTCAGACCTTGGGGTTGCGGCATTATCCTTTGGTGGGATTTGAACCAGGAGCCCTAGAGATCAATGTCCCGCGCTATACCACTAGGACTAGACCAGCTCCCTGGTGTCAAGTGAAATACGAATAAATATAATGATGATGACTTTACAGTTAGGGGGATACTCTTACAAAAAGGGATAGAAAGATAATCAGTCGGTCATTCATACGTCGTAGAACATAGTCAGCCAGTGGAGATCACACATTGCTCCAAAGGCAGTACACCCCGATAAATTTAGTAGTAAATTAAAAAAATTTCGGAGAAGTTCCTCATTTTTTCGCAACAGAGCCCTAAAGGTTTATTCTTTTCCGAGCAGTGGTTGGTCAGCATGATACATGCGAGACTTATAAAAACAATTACTCTTTACCTTGGGTAAAATTATAAAAATTAAAATTAAGAACCGCAGACTCGTGCTAAACTATTTCACGGTAACCGCATTCATCTTGGAAACCGGAAAGATAAAAACTGTGGGAAACAAAAAAGTCGTAACTCTCTTTAAAGATAATTCACAACTAGTCACACCACTGATGCGACACCCCAGGATTTAAACCACAACAGGAGTCGTTGACAAAGACGACACTTGGATTTGACTTGATCCTCTCACATGTCCTTTCTTTGCTCAAGTGTGAAATCGTCCCTTGTTCAGGGATGAACAGCCGTTACGTATAAACACGCAGGACCCCTTATTTTGTCCACAGTTCGTTAGTCGTTACTTGTTATTTACAACTGGCCCTTGGCGTTTATTGTCTAATTAATATCATCCCCGGGGGGGGGGGGGCGAGGATGAGGGGTTGATCCTTCTGACAGCTTGAGAAAGGTCGGAGATGTTCCCGTCGAAACGTCGACAAGTTATGACGACTTTGAGTTTGTGAGTCTTTATGGTACCGGTACTCTTCTTCGCCTTGTGAAGTTTGTCATCAATCAATGTGATGGCGCACCGATTTTACTACGACTAGATTCACTATGATAGGTTTCATAGGATAGCAAAATTAGGGTTAAGTTTTTAGAAATTTAAATTTGGTTTTCAAATGGTGTAGCAGCTGCCGTCGCTAACAATAGTTTAGATAAATAATTGTATCTTTATCGAATTATATTACTTCGCCTCACCTTCATGTTTAGAACGTGCTATACATTATTGTGATATAAATGTAAAAATCTGCTTCTGTGTGATAAAATTGTACATTAGTAGATATAAAATGGCAAAATTCTTTAAATTTGTTATAGTATACATTGCATTTACTGTACGTTTAAAGTCATTGGAGCCTAGACGTTCTAACTCGTAAAACAGTTAATTAAAAACTACAAAGAAAATTTATAACATTGACTAAATATACCTACCTGTAAAATCTCACTAGATATTTAAATTACAATCAATTTAGTGTTTGGATTAAAATATTTTGAGTTGGTAAATAACTCAGTGGCTGTTTGAAATTAACGAAATTAGCATCGCTGGCGGGAAAATCCGAGAAAGCAGTTGGCTTCGACGGACGCCCTTGAAAAATAATTCAAATCTAAAAAATTCCAATCTCACAGTGTCATAGATATTTAAATTATCTCTTTGGTGTTTGAAAAAATATTTTGGTTGATAATACCTCTTCGGCAACTGTTTAAAATTATCCAAGATGGTCTTTAGCCTCAAAGGACTCTTAAATTCGGTCGCAAAATGTTAAATGTATTTAATATATTTTTAATTACTATCCTCACATCTGTACACCACGAGAGCGCACTACCGCAACAGCGTCTGTATATAGGCATGTAATACGGTCCTTATCTGGGCCGCACGATCGTTACACGGTCGAGTCGACGGAATAAAAAATGAAATCGTGTTCATAAAGACAAAGAGGACATTTCTAGTGATTTTCTGAATGGCACATTAGCTTGGGGAGGCCAACTAGACTTTCACCTGGGCGAGGCCGTCCCAGCGGTACATCTGGATATATTGTCCCGGTATCCGACGCTGCTATTAAGCTGCAGACAATTTTAATCGCCTTTTGTTCTCAAATGGAAGATCCGTAGCGTCTCCCGGTGAAACGAGCTCAATTACATCGCCCGGAGTTCCGTCTCCGTCGTCTCGTGGATGTATTTCTTTTCACAGTTGGTTGAATTTGTTTTTGTGTAAAATGCACAGTTAGTGTTTTCAAGTAAAATACGAAATACAGTTTTAATTACCCTGTACGTGTTATTGAATTTACAGATAGTAAATTGAAATATTTCTCATATTTCTCATTACTATTTACTTTAAAAACTGCAAATTTACTTTGATTCAATACTGGTGACTTACAAAACGGTAAATACCTCAAATAATTAGTAAATGTATTTCGATTTCTCTAAAATTATAATCAGACCCAATAGGGAAATGAACAATGTAATCGAATGTCATCCGCCTATTGGGTCTGTTGATTATTTTAGTGTCCAATCGAAATCGACCACCACTTACCATATTTCATAAGTATTTACCGTCTGGCTACATACATAAGTGTAGGTATTTTAAGTGTTATTAGACGTATTTTATTAACTCTCTGTATAAAATATTTTAATATTTTGTGTCACAATATTTAATTCTTTTTATTGTATAAGGAAAAATCTGAAGGAAAAGGAGTTATTGTTAGCTCAAACTTCCATTTACCAGTTCTAAATTATGTTGAACAGAAACATCACTCCCGGTCCTGGAATAACCAGCAAAGTCAAAAGTTTCCAATTATACTTTGTAACTACTTCCACCCCCCCCCCCCCCCCCGGCCGAGATCTACCCCCTGATCCCTCAAAGCTCTGGCATCACTGTAAATATATTTATGTGTCTTTTTAAGTTCCGCCTTTAGTGGAATTTAAAGCGCTCACTATCTGGAGGACTCAGCTTTTAGTTTGTAGGAAAATCCTTTGATACTTTCATTACGTTAAAGAGTGCTTTTACGCCTTAGTAGATTTTTGTGACAGTTTTTTTTTTTTATTATTATAAATATACGATGTCATTAGATTATATTTTTATTCCTGCCTTTTTGGCCTCCATGTTTCCTTGTACAGTAGCAGCGTTTTAAATATCAATTCCATACACCCAGTCTTGGGATCAAGTCATTGAAGTTATAGTACAGTAGTTCTATTGCAGCATTTTGCAGAAAAATCTGTACATATTATTTTTTAATGCTTAGAGGACTGTGTAGTCTATGAGTGCTTTTACGCCTTAGTTGATTTTTGTGACAGTATTTTTTTTTTAATTTACGATGTCATCAGATTACATTTTTATTCCTACCTTTTTGGCCTCTACGTTTCCTCGTAGGTAGCAGTGTTTTAAACATCAATTCCATACACCCAGTCTTGGGACTGCCATTGAAGTTATAGTACAGTATTTCTATTGCAGCATTTTGCAGAAGATTAAACTGTACATATTATTTTTAATGCTCAGAGGACTGTGTAGTCTATGGTATTGCATAACTTCAGAACTACAGTGCGTTACTAAAGAAAACCAAACTTTAATTTAATCTCAAACCTTATAAAACCTAAGAAAAAGTATAATCGAGAAAAGCAGCCTTATTTATTTGATAAATGATGTCACCTAAGAAAAAAATTTAATGAGAAAACCTAAGAAAGTGCATTATCAAAGTTTTTTTTTTATTCCACGAGTTTATTTACAACCAAACCGTTTACGAAGGTTTCACAATAGTGTAAATAAAGCAGGAAATACGGGATTAGCAAGACACGCTTAAACAACCTCACATCTACAAGCCATTACCAGGCATGATTCAAGCTGGACGTGTAGTGAAAGTGAGTCGAGCGAGGTCGTCAACCCTAGAAAGTGCAGAGTTGGGTGTGAGGTAGGCCATGGACGAACTGATAGACTCGAGTCTTGCCGAGAAGGAAAATGGGGAGCGATTGCGATGCCCTCGCGGTAACAAAAGGATTTCATTATGGTGACCCGTTGCAACATTTGAGGTACAGAGTATGGGGCCCGTGGAAATATGGGACTTTGATTGTTGCAGGAAAGAATATTACAGGGTGATTCGTGAAGTGCATTAACGAGGGCACTTTGTACACGTGTGGATTTCACACGTATTGAAATAACTAAGTTGGTTACCTCCCGCTATCTCCGCGTCCCGCCACCTCCGTGTACCGCTACCTCCGAATTTCAGAGTGACCCCTATAATACTCGGTTACTTCCTGCGTTAAGACTTTCCGTCCAAACCTAACCTAACCTAACTTAACCTAACCTAACCTAACCTAACCTAACCTAACCTGACCTAAGGGTCACTCAAGAATTCGGAGGTGGCGGGACAGATTTGGGTTCGGAGGTGGCGGAACGCGGAGATAGTGGGAGCACATGACTAATTTCGCTTCGCTTGTTTCAAATTTTTACATTTCCCCTTGTTAAAATCACAAGGCATTGTATGCTTTTGCAATACTGCTACAATTTTCAAATGACCAGAAGAAATGTGTGGAAAGATGACGACTGGGTTTTATTTTGACATATTTAACTGATCCTGAGATGAAGAGACTGACTCTAGGTAGGCTTAAATTAAAAGATCTCATATTTGTCGGAATACTGAGTGCCAAACCTCTATCTATGCAATGTTCCTGAACTTGGCGATGGACTACATGACGCCACTGTGTGTTTCAGACTATACTGACGACAACTGCCGAATGTCCTCCCATCTTCAGCCAAGTCTGGGTGAGAGATCTTCACAAACAAGTCTGGGCCAAAGCCTTCCTCATGCTCAAAGACAGAAACCTCTACCTCTCCTTCAAGGTAAGCTGTCAACTGTTGTGCTTTAAAAGTTTGAGAATTCGTGGTCTTGTGTGGAGTCAGACGACGGTTCGACCTGGACAACATTTCATCCAAGTTTAGCCAGGTAGACATGGTGACTTCCGTAATTTATCATGAAATCTAGTGGTTCATTGGCTACGTGAAATAGTTACCTAATTTGTCATTACCACTAAATTAGGCACTAAGTTTGCGAAAGCGCCGAAAAGGTCTCCATTGCGTACATTTCGCTCAGCTTTGAAAAAGTTTGTCATTCTCGTACTTGATTAGCGTAGGTAAGCAGAAGTTGTTGAATTCGTGACCAATTGTTTCCACAGGTGCAGTAGAAAGTGGAACTTGATGATGTGTTTCTCAAACAGACTTTCGATATGACTTCGAACACAAAAAACATTTTTTGTACCAAAACAGGCCTCTCGTTTTCCAATTAAACGGAACATTGTGACACATGATTCAAAATAATCGGGTTACTCAGCACTCTCATTGTCAGCCTACACAAAGTAGACAATAACCGCACACCACCAGGGTGAGTTGACACTGTTGGTCACGTGACCAGTGACCAGGTCACACAGAGGTCGTGTGGCACGTGCGAGGTCACATGTTACGCTACCATGGACTCGGTGTCGGATGACATCATTAGGCGAGGGATCAAGTCCGTCGGGAGTGGTGGAATTGGATTTCGTCCATGTGTTTCTTTTCAACCGAGATATCAGTTTTCAAAGCTGTAGAGAGCGTTGGTTAGTTTAAATCGTGTATTCTGTCCGTACTAATTTGGGGTCTTCAAGAAGAGAGCACTATGTAAAACGTTTGTAAAATTTGTCCTGTGAAAATTAAGGTTATTTTGACAAAAAAACCTAACCTAATTTAACCTAACCTGACTTTCTAATAGGCGGTGGTCATCTTCTTGAAAAGACCCCTAGTTTGGTGATCGTCATAAGGGTCGTTGAACCTACAGTATCTTGAAATGTACATTTATTACACTTGTAACCAATATAGTTTTCCTGTGGTCATCTTAACATAAAATTTTGAAAGGGAATATGTATCGATTACGAAAAGGCCAGTCGAGATAGATTTATTCAATGGAATTATGTTTTATTGCATCAAGAGCTTTTTAAGAAATTATATTTCTAAGTACTTTCCACATCTATAAACACAAGTGAACTATTGATGAGTTAGCGTATGGAAATACTAGTAGATAGTTTGACCTAGGCAAGTCACGTTTTTGTATCACGTGTTGTCTAATCATGAAATCGTAATCGGAAAGTATTAACCGTTGTTACGAAATAACCATCAGTGAGTCAAAGGAATCCTCCGAATGTAAAGTGATGAGTCCCGCCATTCAAAGTTCAATGGGTCGAATTACTGTTCATACATTTCAATTATGTCCAAATATGTTTTGGAATCGAAATTTAAGTTACCAAACTCTTTCCAAGTGTTTTTCGCAATAGTAGAACGGTCGAAATAATCATACCGGTCACAAAGGGCTAAAGACGAATTTGGTCGTTCATTAATTGCGCCAAAGAGTTCCTTTGTTGCGCCAAGCCCTCAGATGGTCCCAAAATGTGCCTTAGTTGTGCTAAACCCAAACCAGTGAGGTGAGTTGCTGGCAGAAGGAATGTCCTTGTTTAGGTGTCATCCTGACCTAACCTAACTTAACCTAACCTACTCAATTATACAATCAAAGAGGGCCGCCATTTGGTGTAGTTAAAGAACGTATCGGGTGGCTCCCTTAAGTAGTTGGCGCAATTCAGGAATACCTGACTATGAGTGACCTGACTTTTGCCACACTCATGTTTTTGCCGCACTCCAGTATTCCAACCAAACAACACTTGACCTACTAGTACGACTACGATCAGCAGGTACAGCGTTTCCCATTTCGTTCAACGCTTGGATTTAACTTACCAACGTGTTGTTTAGTGGAAAGGCTAATTATTTACAGGCTTTATCAGCAATCCATCTAATGTTAAAATTCGAGAATACAATCCAAGTTTCTGGTTTCTGCCCCCATAACAGCTATGACTGTTCCCAGGATTTACTGTTCCTAGTAACAGCCGTTTAGTCGATTTACCTGGATCTATTTCTGTTCCACCTTGAAATGCCGCCTTTCACATTAAGAAAACCTTCAAAGGGAAAGTCTGTACGGAGTGCTGCAGTGATATCTGCGTCTTGTCAGATGTTTTGACAGGAGTTAGTCGCCCGCGGCACTTTACGGGTCTTCCTAAGTATTGGAACCTCCTAGCACTTTGTGAAAGACTTATCGTATTGATCGTCATACTCTATCCATGACCTGTTGTTTCATAATGTTGCAAAGTTTCGTCGAAATAGAGTATTGCAGAGTGAGATGTAATATCGATTGCAATTCGGGTATTTTCAAGGTGTTGGTTACTTTTCTTTTTCTTTTTGAATACATTTGCTACCTGTAAAATATTTTGGTTATTTGTTAATAGTTAGGATACACAAATTCAGCATAAAAAGTTTTATTTATACATTTGCTTGTGAACAATTTGAATTCATGCAAATTTGTTGGTTCAGTAAAATTTAAAGATATTGAGTTGTATTCGCACACATTTTGTATGACAAGTTACACCTGATTAACCAGCAATTGCACCAAATTACTTTAAACTTTTTACGTTACATATTTCATATTCATTTCGAAACATAAACCTGCACAGCGTGGTGTGTGTGAGTGTTTATCTAAAAATATTCGTCAATTTCCAACTCTGGACTTCAAACGTTAAATTGGAATACAGAGCTAGAAAAAGCACTAAATCTTCAGGTGTTTGTAGAATGCCAATCAGAATGATTCGACCTTGAACCCAAACCCAACTGATTAACAGACATGTTGAAGGGGTGGTTGAGTTTACTATCAATCTATTTGCCTTCCTACGGTTGACTTGTCACTAACAGCTAACAGCTTTGATGCTTGGTGCGAGATAGTTGATATAAGGCAGGCGCGAGGCGCTCCCATGTGTTGTGTGTTTGCATGAGTAGGCAGGCAGCTCTTGTGTAACAAGGAAGCCTTCTTGTGCTCCACGTGTGTACTCCATGACCTTCTGTCATCCCCACACATCATATGCCGTCAATATAGATGACAATTAGGAATTTCAGATATTGATTTTGATTTTGACTGCATCCTTGGGCATTTTCAAAAAGAGCTGCCACTAACAAATGTTGAGCCATATGCTAATGAAGGGGGTGTATAATAACCTAACCTAATTGACCGAACCAAACTGAATTAACCTAACCTAACCTGGCCTGATTGACCTTACCAAATCTAACTTGCGTAAGTCAATTTTCAATAGTGGCCACCCTCTTCTTGAAAAGACCCAATTCCAAAGGTGAGTCATCCTGAGGCACAGACAAGGGAAACCTTAGTCAATGGTTATAGTGACTAGTTTATTATATATAATATCGTTTTGTTTTGTTTGGTTTTATTTTAGTAATACGTTAAGCAGTGTGACTAACTTTGAAATTAAGTCACTAACCGTAGTATTTGTGATTATTAACATTGTTTTGTGTGATACCTTTTGGGAAATGGAAAACGAATGAGTGATACACCAGTCCATAGTTCAGATTAGTCCAAAATCCTAGTCTCGTTGGAAAACGCTTGTCAGTGGTTTGGTTTACTCGTTATTTTTTTAATATTAATGTTGTACGTGACCGTACAACATAGATAAAGGTTAACATCTTGCTTTATATTCACGGTTTTAATATTATGATTTCGAAATTGGTGTTAAGAGCAGTACCAATTAATAAAAACTTGGGGCTGTAACTTATTAAAAGCCTGTGCAAATAAGGTTTGTCTAGGTTATTTTAGGTTTAGCTTTTTTAGGTTAGGTTAGGTTATGTTTTGTTAGGTTAGGTTGTATCAGATAATGTTTGAGTACGTTATCTTATATTACGTTATATTGGATTAGGTTTGGTAATCTTTCCATTTGCATAGTGGCAAATTAGTGGCGACTCTCTTATTGAAATCACCAAATACTAATAGGGGTAAATATATTGATGTGTTTATATACAGTGACTGTCTACACTACCAACATGTCACAACCTGTTAAACACGTGAATCATACGGCCATTAGCGTGATATCGCTCCTTATCTGGTCCCAAACGACAGGACAAAGTCTAGACTGTGAACGAATCAACGAATGCTTGGTATTATGACCCTGTCATTATCTTGGCTGCAGTACGTAATAGACAAGGCTTTGCTGATAGCCATAGCCGAGGTGTTCAGCAAGAGGAAATCCTCAGCACGGTCAATTTAGCCAGTGGCCTCAGCTCAAGGTATAGCTTGTAGTTTTATAGGCTTCATAGCAACCGCAATAAGCCTGTTTCCTTATTTGTGCTCACTTTATAGCGGTTTAGTCGCAGTAGTTTGTCATTGCAAGTATTCTGCTGAAGCGTATTTACTACTGTACTTACTCAGTTTCTGAACTTCTACAAACTTGTACGTGTTCCGTATACCTTTAAAAACAGGAGGTTTTGATTAGAAATTTGCATCACTTTTTAATACCTTTGTTACAACTAGTACAGTACGAACGAATACGGTTCGGACAACACAAGGTTGAAAACACTGCTCTGAGGCTACAAATGTTCGGTATTTGTTTAGATTACAATTAAAGTTCCATTGGCGAAGAAATTATATTCTTTTAGCGAATTTCCCATATAGAGAAGACGCTATTACTAGTTGGTGGGTCATGGTAGGGCATTAGACCAGGGATCAATTATAATAAGTTTTGCTGCGGATATGGTGTTTTTTCTGTTGATTTGTTCAGCTTTTGTTATTTTTACCGTCAAAATTCCCCACAGTTCAATATAATAATTTATTTTCTCTCTTCAAACTTTAACACGTTCTACATTTGAACAACTAACATACAAAGAATTTTAATATATTAAATCAACTAAAATTGTTTATAATATTTTTAGTTATGTGTCCAGTTTTTAACAAGTGTTAAACACCTTGAGTACCTCGTTAATTTTCTTGTCCA